TTATGGGTTAAAGTTATCCTTAAATGTATGTTTTTGGGAGTGTTTATACACAAATGGACAAGACATGCATATGTTTGGAACCTTGAATGTCAGTTTGAAGCTCAAAATAGAATTCTGGAAATTCTAGAAATTTGACAGACCACTCGAGCGACCAAAAGGTGGCTCCAATGTACACTCCAAGCTCCCAGTAGTTTTGCAGATAATTGCACGGTGGCTTGAGCGACTAATTGTGCACTCGAGCAAACATCATTTTTCTCAATTCTTTGCTCGAGCAACTGTTGAGCATCCATCGAGCGTGAAAATCGAGAGTCCAATAATTTTGCAAACCAAGGGGTTCGCTCGAGCAAAGTGCCCTGTTTCAAGAAATTTTGAAGAGTTATTTTATGTTCCAATTTCTTTTCTCTTTCATTTATGAGTATTCTTAGGCACACACTGAGCATTCTAATTGAATTAAAGAACTAGAAAGAAGCCTAAGAAAATTAGGTGAACTAAGGAACGAATTGAATTGTGTTATGACCCAATGTGTTGTGAATTATGTAGGGTCAACTGCAAGGACGATTTAGCCATCTGATCACAGTGAGTAATATCTTAGTAAGGATACTTTACTTATACTTTATTTTCTAACTGTTCACATGTGGTAAGCTTTTTTGAACCTATGATTTGATAAGCGTGGATGAGTTACCAACAATGTGATATTAACGAGCATATCATCTGTACAAGTGAATGATTGATGTGATATGACTGAATCTTTGATAAGACAGAATGACGGATATGATATGATGGAATCATTGATAAGACTGAATGACTGATATGATATGACTGAATCTTTGATAAGACTAAATGACTGATATGTAATTGCAAAATTAAATGGCTGTTATATACTATATGGCCATTATATACTATAAATGCTTGGACCGAAGATCATAATGATAAGAGATGACTGAATCCGATCGGTGAGTTTGTTAACTATTGGACCTAAGGTCATACTATACATTGTTGGGCCCAAGGCCGTTGTTTGAGTAAGGATTGAACTCATACTGTATATTCTGCTATCTCTTGGGCTTAACGTCGTTCCGTTGCATGTTGGACCGAAGGTCGTTCTGATGTAAATGCCTACTGATTATATATGCACATTAATTAAATATGCTTATCTGTTGAAAGAGGGCCCATTCACTCAAACCCTTTACTTCGGTATTATTCATTGGGCGTTTGCTCACTCTTTATTTATATGTTTGTAGGTGAGCAGCAGGATGTCCAGCCTCAACCCTAGTGAACCCATTAAGGATATCAGATACCGTGGAGTCTGCTATGGACGGCTCCTGTGCGAGGCTTTGTTTATGACTGTTTTTCTTTTGTTTACTTTTGTGCTCCCGTAGGACTAGGTCTGTATTTGATTATATAACTTAGTATCTGCTGAGACTGTTTTTGGAATGGTCTTGGATATATGTCTATCTATATTGACTGTATGGTGTGATTTATTATTATAATGTGAAAAGTTTTTGTAATCCCATATATGCACAACTCATTGGACAAAATTTCTAATAGTGCTTCTACTTCTGGCCCCCTATTAATATTAAATCTGATGGATTTCTGACTGAGGTCTTAGGTATTCCTCATGATTATTGGCCGGTTATGATCCTAACCTCTAGGGGCGGGTTCAGGTCTTGACAGGTGGAGCTGGTGGTGGCTGGATGGTGGCCGTGAGGAAACATCGGTCAGTAGATTGTCATCTCAGATTTCTTTGACTACTTACCACATGAATCCATTCATATTGATTCACACAACTATAAAAATCGTAGAAATACACTTCTTTAAAAGGTTGTCAAGAATGAGTGAAATTTATACATTTTTATAGTTTGATTTGTGAAAATGTATACGTTCACAAATGAGAAGGCATGTTATTCACAAATAATCAAGAGAATCTTGGAGTAATTAACTCACTTTTTCTTATATTTTTTACGTTTTCATAATTTATTTTATTTATTTATTCCTTGAATTTCCTTATTTATTTATTTTTTTTGTGTGCGTGTGTGAACTACTTAAGTGCCTTTGTGTGAATAGTTTTCAGGCAGGCGGTGGTGAGAAAATCCTTCAGCACTTTTTTTTCTTTAACCTATATCTCTATCTATATTATTTTAAATATTTATATAATGAAGCAACTAGGTTTTTGAAAATGTCCTACATGTCATTGTGAAGGGTGACGATTAACTCAATCTAACAATTGAAATTGTCCTACTTGAAACAGAGATGTAATTGGATTCTTGAGTTGAAATCAACACAACTAATTGTTAGTTTTATTTTTTTAATATTTTTTTTATATTTTATTTTATTTATTTATTTTGTGCTTTCTACTTGTGCAATATTCAAAAAATAAAAAATGATGAATTCTTGATTTTTGGTTTTATTGTAGCGTCTAGGAATAAATGGCTATGATCTAATAATGCGATGTCTCAGGTCATTGACCCGATTGGAGTGTACCTTTTTGGACTTATCATTTTCTTTCAGAACCTCGATTGCTATATGATGTCTCGATGTTTGACAATTTTACTTGGTTTAACCTTCTTGACGTTGAAGGAAGTTAGAAATTTTGAGTTTCAGTCATACGGACAAAAAATGGAGACATGGAATTACATTGGGAAGGGTTGGGCTGGAACAAGGAGGCCCGCATGCAAAGGGCTAGAGCTACACGTGCGATAGGAGGCCTGCACATGCGGCAAGTTGGGTCGCACGTTCGACAAAGGAGGGCATTACTTGGTGTAGTGAACCTCACATACGAGGGAGGTAGCCACACGTGCGGTGAGGGGCTCCGTACGTACGGGACTTCATGTTTTCCATCTTGAATTTTGTGCTCTCTTCTAAAAAATTGTTATCTCTCTCTCTCTCTCTCTCCCCCTCTTTCTCGTTTTTTTTCTTGATTCTCTCACTCTAAACACTCTCCCATCTCTCTTTTATCTCCAAACAACCACTAAACTTCATATCTTCTTTGATCTGTTATCAAACAATATTGTGGTAATAGTTCTTAAGGCCAAAATGACGAGAATTCCGAGAGTTATGTTTTGACTGATGGAAATCAAATTCTGACGTTGTGGGCTCTGTGTCGTTTTTGAGTCTAAGGCCTGTTCCCACACAAATGTTATTATAACAGTTGATTTTGGGTGACTGATCGAGCAGCCATTTGGTTGCTCGAGTGTAGATGCTCAGCTCCCAGTATCTTGCATGTTTGCAGGCGAACAACTGGAGCGAAAGAGAGGTCGGTCGAGTGTAGAATTCAAGCTCTCAGTATTTTCATTGTAGCTCTGCAAAACTTCTAAGACCAAACGTTTACCCCTCGAGCGATGAAAAGTTTGCTCGAGCGGTCTCTTTGTATTTTAGCACTTCACTCAAGCGATAGAAAGTTTGCTCGAGCAGTCTGTTCGGGGCAACATAGTTAAAATGTGATTGAAACACATTTCTTGCTCACTTTTTCATACTCCTCTCTCTAATGACCTTTTTTTCGAAAACCCTAGTCTTAAAACTTTAGATTTCGTCTGCCAATAGCAAGAATCTTTCTTTGTGCCTTCAATAAAGTTGTTATTCACACAAAAAGCTACATTTTGAATGGATTAGATGGTTTTTTTTTTTTCGAAAGTTCATTGCGTGGATCTTTATCTTCCACTTGCAACTCTTCAGGTAGGAATATCTTTTCCCGTGTATATTCATAGTTTGGTTTAAGTGTGTATGGAGCTTAAGGTATGGGGTGATTATTGAGATGGGTTGTATATATACATATATATATGGATTTTGTGATGTTCATGTGTCACGCCCCAAAATAATTACCATAATCCCTCCACAATATTCATAAACGACAATAACAATAAAGTAAATATCTTCCATTAAATCTAATTAGGATTACAAAAGGGAAATTGATGCAGTATACATTCACAATGCCTAGTGCTGAATATATTGCATATGTTACAAATAACAGCAATGAATGAAAGTTAAACAGATAAGATATGCCCTAAAGGCTTACAACTTTCCAAGATAGTTATTGGTTACAACAAAAGTGGACTTTAGGTCTAATACATTTAAAGCCCTTGGTTGTACAAGAACAAATACAACAAAAGAAGCTCTTACTCTAACTCCTCCCAAGCTACTGCTTTGGTGAAGGCATATCTCCAGCACCTGAAAATGGTTTTCCCCACATAAGGGGAGCCAAAGCCCAGTAGAAATGATCTAACACAATACATGAATCTTAACAAAGATATAAGGTGAAATGTAATAACCCAACCCTTGTATGTGTTTCTGGCATAATTTAGTCCTTTGTTCTGTGCATTTAAATGTTTAATGTTAAATCTCCCGAGAAATTTAGTTTAAGCACATGGCTCTTATAAATTGAAACCTCTATCTGTTTGGTAAGGAAAGCATCTGTCACAATTATAATAGTTGAATCAGAAATTGGAAGCCTTAGAGGCTTAATTACCTGAAATTGATTTTACATCTGAGATCAGCATAATTTTTAAGCAATAATAAGCATTTTTGTAGAAATTTGATTAGGGATGATTAAACTGATTAAATTGTCTTTACTCACTCTTAGTGTAACGACCCCAAAATCCGTATTAAATATTACCTTTATGGCCTTATGGGTTAATTCATTTTAATTTAATGATATGCGTTTAAATTGAGGAATTATCTGTTGAGCCACAACTTTAAAATTGAAATTACCGACCTTTACGGGTTCAGAAATCACAATTGAGGACTTGGATGTGTTAATTGAAAATTTTAAAACTATTTGGAAAACTTAATTGAAAATCTAATTTGTCTGATTTGTTAATGTACGTTTGGGTGGTTAATTTGGTACTGCAAATTGAAGGCCTTAGAGGCTTCAGAAACCAGAATAGGGGGCATATTTATGATCACCATAATTTCTAGAGTCATCTGAAAAGTTTAATTGAAATTTAATTGTGCGCAATTCGTAAGGCCACGTTTGGCTCTCCCTTGTGTTAAGCTTAAGTATGTGACATATACATATATGGATAGGCCATGTGAGTTAGGGGTTTTATCATTTTGAAGTCAAATAAAATATCTAAGGGAGAGGGAGAGAGAGAACCGTGAAAGAGAGATAGAGAGGGAAAGAGGATCATCCATGGAAGCTTGGAAAATTGAAGAGATTAAAGTGGAAAAACAAGGAATTAAGTTAAGGTATGTGGCTTCAACTATTATCTTTGTAAATAATGCATCTACTACATGAAATCAATGATGGATTTAGGGAAATTAATATGCAAATGAACAAGTGTGTTGGGTTATGAATGAAATGAGTTAAACTCAAGGAATTGAACCTTGATTTCTTTAAATTTGCTTGAGTTGGGTTCAATCTTAAGAATGATTCATGGAATACCAAGTTGTGGTGTGAAGATCAACCATGTACAAGATGTATTTGTATGATTTTGGAGTATATATTATAGAAGCTTGATTATACAGAAGTGAAGACTTGAATTTCTATTTTTGAGGCAAAGATTGATTTGTTTAAAATGGAATTGCACTTGATTGATGTTAGTTTATCATGTTATGAGATAATTTTACATGTTTTTGAGTGATTTATGTTAAGAACCAAGTTTAAAAATGGAAAAACCAAGTTTTGGAGAAAAAAGAGCCATTATCGGACAGCAAACTACCCAGAGCCGCACGGGCGGCTTTGTTTCCGGCCCGTGCGGGAGACAGCTTTGTCTAGCCAACTTTGAATAAGCATATCTTTTTCCTCGGGACTCCGTTTTGAGTGATTCTTGAGCCTAAAATCAAGCCCCAGACGTCTAGTTTCCAATGGTGGTGGTCTCACTCCCAAATTCTAAATCCAGAAATATTTATTCCCAAATTAGTGACAACTGTTCACTTTTTGTCAACCAGTTTTGTACCATTTCTTCACCTAAACCATTTCCCATCAACTTCTCCTATTTTCTGAGACATGGATTATAACTTATTAAGGAATAATGAGCTTGGTACCACCATGGCTAATTGATTGAATGGTCAAAGAGAATAAGTAAAGGATCGAGTATAATCTCATATTATGTGTTGTGCACTGCGTTGTAGGTCGAAACGAGGACACCGTCCCATTGCTACCGGGAGCCGATCACTGTGAGTAACAGTACAGAAATGTACATTTTATTTACTGTTGATAATTATTGTCACTAACACTATGTTCTTCGTAAGTGGTAAACAAACATTTATGACGATTGGAAATCAGTGTGAACTTATATGAACATTGAAAGATTTGCGCACATCGGTATGACTTTGGAATCCTTTTGTTCTGTCAATAACAAATATTAACCCTCTATTATTTATCAGCATACTACGTTACTTCTTAAAGAATAAATGGAACTTATGTTCATCCTTGACCAATGGTATTTGTATGAATCCAAGATTATTCTGTTGTGTTACGTACGGACCCGAGGTCGTTTAGAATTTATGACATGAATGCAAAGGTTTAACATCATTATGTAACCCACGTTAGAATGTAAATTGTTCAGTCTTTGTTAAGCGTACTGTAATGACATGATATCGCAAGAAATGTTCTATTTTCTGATATGTTACGTTTTGAATTAATGAATGATTGTCTATACATATATATAAGTATTCACGGCATCCTTAGCACAAGGCCCTTACCCGGGGGTAAGAACACTGTGGTCTTATGGCCCTTGCCCGGGGGTAATAATACCGTGGTTGAAGTATATGAATTTGCTCTGTTTATCTGTGCCAGTGGTTCGGTCTTTAAGACCTAATGATTTCTGGTATGGAACAAAGTGCTATACGGAACTAAGTGCCGCAATGCGAACCACCTCTAGAATTCGTACGAGCCACCTCTTGAGTCCATACATATGTGAACTGGGCTTAAAGCCAATGTAAAAGTTATGAGGCCTATGGCCGTTCTGTGAAAGTTATGAGGCTTATAGCCATTCTGTAACATCTGTGAGGCCTATGGCCATTCTGTATGATCTGTTAGTATGAAACAAAGTGCTGCACGGAACTAAGTGCTGTCATGTGAGTCACCTCTAGAATCCGTGCGACCAACCTCTTGAGTTCATACATGCATGAAAAGGGCTTAATGCCGTCTATTTAAGGGCTCAATGCCGTTCTGTTTAAGGGATGAAACTATAGGCCTAAGGCCATTCGGAAAATAATTACAGGATAAAGCTAATTATATGTCCTCTGTCCTTATACATGTACATTGTAATTCAAGTTAATTGTTAAATTGTTACGTACTACTATTCACTGAGTTTGGCTCACTTTATGTTATGTCTATTTCTATAGGCACTCCACCGGGAGGTCAGTCTCAACCCAAGGCATCCGTTCCTCTTATGTCAACCTCAGGGTGTCCAGGCATTTAGATGAAGGCAACTCATTTTACAGAGTTGTGCTAAACTTTTGATTTTGTACCCTGATTGCCTGTCTAAAGAGGAAGTGTGTATAATCCTTTTATCTTTCAATGCTTTTGTTATACGCCCAATCTTGAGGGCTGGGTCTGTATATATATGTTTGTAAGCATATAGCTAAATTCTCAGATGCACGTCACTCTATGTTTATTTGCCTTATGTTCCGTTAGTGATCCTGGCATGGTAGTTATAGCTCAATGGGGATGGTTTTCTGTTATTTTAAAATATTAATGCTTCCGTTCAGGCCCCATATCTCATATATATATATCAAGTTAAATGTCTATTTCTGAAGTGGTCATGACCAAACTTTTAGGGGCGGGTTTGGGGCGTGACATGAAATGCATCTATAATGCTCAAGACCAAAATGTTTTACATTTTCTTTCCAAAAACAATGCCATGTTCAGTCTATGTCAAAATTCTCAAAGAACAAGGAGAAATTCTTAAACCGGTACAACTTTTCACGGATATTTCGTCAGTGGGAAACCATTAAACGACACCCATGTAAACGTAGTCTATATAAGCACTATTATTGCCATTTTATGAATATTTCGTCCGTAGGAATCGACACCTATGTATACACACGTTTTTCCGGACTTTCACCCTGGACACTCTGGCCAACTTAATTTGGTGATATACACCTCTTTCCACATTCACCCCATTTCTCAAATTCATATACATATGCAATGTATTAAAAAAGCAACAATATTCAACGCACAAAGGTGAGAAATTAGTTTTAATTCACCTAATTCTCATTCAATTTCTACAACAATCATAGCTATCCTCCACCAATAGCCCAAAATAGATATTTATAAACAGATATAAAATCTCCCATAAAGATAAACTTACCAAATTTCAAGGTGAGTGATAATACATATGAAACTCCACCATCTATATTAATATCCTTTCAATTTCACATATCCAATATGAATTTCATTTATTTATACGAAATAATTATTTGAGCCATTTAGGTCAAAATCCCTTTTCTTCCAAAATCCAACCCAAGAGTCAAAATCAACAATTTGTTCACAACTGAACCTCATTTCCACTCCCACAACCATTTTCCATACAACTATTTGAAAATCCCTCTTTATGATTTTAAACCAAACCCTAGGTTCGTTCAAAGTCCTCCAACACTACAAGATTGTTTATGAAAAGCAAATAACTAAGTTAAAAACCATACAAGAGTGTAGAGAATCCTTACCTCAAAGCTAGAAGACGAGAAAAGCACGGAATGAAGCTCGAATGAACCCAAAACCCAACTCTATCCAGGTGAAAACGAACTTCTAGCTGAGCTCTACCTTTTCAACATAGGAGGTAAGGTGGAGAAATGGGTAAATCTTGGTGTATTTGTAGAGAAAGAGCAAGTTCTAAAGAGAGAAGCTCTAAATTTAGGGTTTTGAAGTGTTTTAGAAAGAGAGAGAGATGACAAAGGGATGTAAAAAGTGATCTTCATGGACTGAGATACGCACAGTCCGCTTGAGCGCAAGAAGTTATGCTCGACTGTCCACACACAAAAATGATTTCCGCGTGAGCACAAGAAGTGACACTCGAGCATAGAATACACATTTCCAGTAGTTTTGCAGACAGAAGACCATCGCTCGAGCGCAAGTATGGCCGCTCAAGCACAGAACCGCTTGAGTGTAGAATACGCTCTCGTTGTAGTTTTGCAGTCCTGCAAAAGTACTGAGAGTCCACAAAGTCCACTCGAGCACAAGAAGTGACACCCGAGCGTAAGAGAAAAATTCTGGGTAATAAGGTTTTTCAAAAACAATGTACCAACCTGTCCCAAACACAACCAACACATCCTGATAACCAAACTCAAGGAGGGAAAAGAGGAACAAGACAAGAACAACAACACAAAACCAAGAAACTCCAATCTAGAATCCCAAATAGGTCAGGTCTAAACCATAATCGCTATAATTTCCCCCTTTAAGGAATTTCATCCCTAAAATTATAAATCAAACTTTAAAACCATGATTAAACTAATTACAACAATTATATTCAATTAATTTCAATAACATGGCCCATCCAGCAGTCATTCATTCTCATAAACATGATAAACAAGTTCTCAATATTGAATGTACAATTCTCATTTCGAAAACATATACAATGTTTACAGTAAATCAATCATAATAAAAGTGTCAATACATGCTCAAACATTAACAAATAGGTTCAGATACTTTTCACGGACTTCCATCTCACGTTCCCTAGTTGCTTCCTCAATTTCGTGATGTCGCCACAATACCTTAACTAAGGGAATTGTCTTGCCTCACAAGACTTGGTCTCAAGTATCAAAGACTCTTACTAGTCTCTCCTCATGCGAGGAATCCTCATCCACCTCTAAGTCAGTCAAATCCAACACGTGCGATGGTTCCGGCTCATACTACCGAAGCATACTAATATGAAACATATCACAAATTCCAGGAAGCTATAGCGGCAAGGCCAAGCATAGGGTACCTCTCCAATCCATTCAAGTATCTCAAAAGGCCCAATAAATCTAGGAGATAACTTCCCACTATTTCCAAATCTCATCAAACCCTGCCAAAGTGATATCTTCAAGAAGACATGATCTCTTACCTCAAAAGAAAAAGGTCTCCTCCTACGGTAGGCATAACTTTTTTGACGACTTTGAGCAGTAACCAACCTCTTATAGATAAGTGCAATTTTCTCCGTCGTTTCCTAGAATAACTCTGGACCCAACAAAGGGGCATCACCCATCTTAGCCCAATACATTGGGGATCTACACGGTCGGCCATACAAGGCCTCAAATGGTGCCATGGCAATACTCGATGAGAAGCTATTGTTATAGGCAAACTCCGCTAAGAGTAACTGCCTCTCACACGACCCCTTAAAGTCAAGAACATAACCCCAAAGCATATCCTCAAGGATTTGAATAGTAAGTTCTGACTGCTCATCGGTCTGAGGATGATACACGGTGCTAAAAGTCAATCTTCTGCCCAAGGCACTTTATAGGCTCTGCCACAATTGAGCCATAAAATGCAGATCTTTATTTGAGACAATCGTCACTGGGACCCTGTGTAGCCTCACTATGTCCCTAACATAAAGATCGGCAAGATAATCTACCGAGTCACTTACGCACATAGGTATAAAGTGCGCCGACTTGGTTAATTGGTCAACTACACTAGCCAGACCCAGAACAAAATCCATCGTGACATGCGCCCACTTCCACTCGGCTATAGGCAAGGGTTGTAACAAATCCACTAGCCTCTGATGCTCGGCTTTCACTTGTTGACAAGTAAGGCACCTCGATGCAAACATGGCCACATCTTTCTTCATTCCCCTCTACCAAAACTGGTGACTAAGGTCGTGATACATCTTTGTGCCTCCCAGATGCACTGCAAGGCGTGAATGGTGAAACACTCAGAGTACTACCTCTTGACATGACTTTGGCACAAAAGAACGGTCATGGTATCAAACACTCGAATTGGGGTACACATTCAAGCCTTTCTTTACCTTTCCGCTAGAGATATTTTCTCAGAGGGTTTCTACCTGAAGATCACTCTTCTGTGCTTCTATCACTCAGCTCACAAGTGTAGGTTGTGCAACTACCGAAAGGAAGGCTGCAGACTCAATGGACTCACCAAGTTGCAAGTCAAGCTCACTAATAGCACCCAACATCTCCTGTTCCTAAATGACAATACTAGCCACCCTATTAATGGATTTCCTACTCAAAGCTTCAGCCACAACATTGGCCTTTCGCGGATGATAATGTAGCTCAAAATCATGATCTTCTATAAACTCCATCCATCTCCTCTACCTCAAACTCAAGTCTTTTTGTGTAAACAGATATTTCAGACTCTTGTGGTTAGAAAACACTTCAAACTTCTCGCCATACAGATAATGCCTCAAAATCTTTAAGGCGAAGATCACCGCCGCTAACTCTAGGTCATGAGTAGCGTAGTTCCTCTCATGTGGTTTCAA